AACTCCGAACCGCATCTCCGACCGGGGACGCACCGAACCCCTGCTTACAGCTCTTCTCCGATTGGCGCAGTCGGAGCCAACTGGGACCAACCGACAGGGGGACGCCCGCTTGGTGAGGACCAGGAAACGAACGGAGCAACTAAGGCAGGGCACTCAAGTCAACCGCAAAACCGAGGACCGTACCCTGTACACCTACAGGACAGTACCGACAGGACATGTCAGAAGAGTGCCCTGCAACCCTCCAGGCATGTCAGAACCCAAGCAGTGTTGTGGGCGCCGACATTTGCCCTACAGTGTTGTGGGCGCCCGCAAAAATCCCATACCAAACGAGCACGGTATAACCCCTTGCATGCCTCTGGGCATCAACAGTGTGGCAGGCACCGACGTCTGTCATACCAGAAGAAACGCAACCTCCCACATGCATCTGACATTAAAAATGTTATGGGCGCCTACAATCATCTTCTACCCGACGGCGTGGACAACAAGACTTAGCATACGTAGCTCTCTCTCTCACTTGTAAGGCCATCCCCTTCATCTATAAAAGTAGATGCGCTCTCTCCCAACAGATAGATCCTAGAGTTCACTCACACACAACAGCAGAACCACTAGGTTCAAACCTCGAGCACACGCTCAAACACTTAGCACATAGCGGAGCTCCTGTCACTCTCGGCCCTTCAGACCAGAGTCCGACCGGACCTCTTGTACCCCCCATCTTTCTCCCTTCCGTTTGTAACCCCACAGCAAACTTCGAGCACCTGGGCTCAGGAATAAAGTCACCGACCGACTCAAACTAGACGTAGGGCACGTTGCCTGAACTAATATAAACCCTGTGTCATTGAGTGTTAGGCCACATCCGATCAAACGTACGGCAAAACTACAAATATTTACGTGTTGGTCACTTTCTGCACCGACAAACGGTTTTAAACTCTTCACCAGCCTTCAATCTGATCTGATGATACCCCGCTGTCAAATCCAGACAAGAAAACCATGACGCATGGGTAAGCTCGTCCAACAACTCCTCAATGACAGGCACTGGATACTTTGTCTTGGTTGTGAGCGCGTTGAGTTGCCTGAAGTCCACGCAAAAACGGAAGGTGCCATCCTTCTTCTTGACAAGTAGTACAGAAGAAGAGAATGGGCTGGAGCTGGGTTGAATGATGCCAGACTGTAGCATTTCTGAAATTTGGCGTTCTATTTCATCCTTGACTAGAGGTGGGTAGCGGTAAGGCCTGATAGAAAATGGACTTGCACCAGGAAGCAGGGGTATGGTATGATCACAATCCCGAGCCGGAGGATACCCAGATGGTGGCTCACAGACTGACTGAAACTCATTGAGCAGAGCAGAAATCTCTGGCGGCACAGGTTCCTGACGAGCTACAGTGTCGTCCGACAACATAGCAGAAATGTGAATAACTGAACCTGGAGGAAGCGCTGTCAGTTCACCTTGCAACAATTGCTGAGTATGTTCATACGGAATAAGTAGCCACTTGTGTTGCTAGTCTACTTGCATAGGACTGCGAGAAGCCAACCAGTCCATCCCAACAATCAACTCATATGAAGACAGAGGTAGAATTTTAGCTGGAGATGAAAACTGGCACTGCTGAACAGACCATTGCAACTGCTCAATATGCTTAGCACAAACTAACTGTGATCCATCAGCAACAGTTACACGCAGGGCAGGACTGAAAGATGTTATGCCAGACAATTGTGTAGCCAGCGATTCACTGACGAAAGTGTGTGTGCTACCTGAATCAATCAGAATACGAGCCAGATGGCCTTGGATTGTGCCCATAAACTGAATAGCTTGAACTGATGCAGACCCGCCAGAAGCAGCTAGAGAAATGGCCAAACACTGCTGAGTTTCACCATCAGGAACAGAAGCCGTATCTGAATTCTGAACTGTCCTCCGTATGACAGATATCCCAGAACTCCTGTAATACATGAAGCTGTATAGTCTAAGCACATTTATGATCACGAGACCATTTCTCACCACAGTGGATGCAGAGGCTGCGGGCACGGCGGTAATCGCGCAATGTCGCCAGCTTGGCGTCAATGCCGTGGCCACGACGATCAGCAGGTGGCGCGCCTGGGGCCGCCGGCTTGTCCTAGCGCTCAGGCCGGGGCGGCGGTGGGGGAAGAGGCATGGGCCGCGGCGCCGCCTTGGCAAAGCTGAACGGCTCCGGCCGACGAACATCACGCCGACGCCGTAGGTCCACCAGCTCTTCCTACAACAAGGCGAGCATGCAGTATCTAGTGTAGCGGGGCGTTGCAAATGCACAGCGGCACGAATATCAGCTCGGAGACCATCGACAAATCGCATTGCATAATACAGAGGATCAGTATTGCGCCCATAAGCGATCAATTGCTCAACTAACCCAGTGTATTTGTCAATATACTCCTGCACCGACCCTGACTGATATATGTGGAAGAGCTGGCGGATCTGAAGAGCATGCTGATCCTTGCCAAAACGCTCCATGACAGCCCGACAGGAGAATTCCCAAGTGCCTACACGTATCTGGTCCTCCACCGTCATGTGCATGGTTGCGACCTTAACCCAGCGGCGGTGAGGCACAGTGTACATGTCAAAGTAATCCAAACAACGACCGAGCCACAATTTTGGGTTCTCTCCATCAAATGGTGGGAAATTCATCTTGGGTATGTGTTCGTGAGTTCCCTCCCCATGCCAATGACGATCACGAACCCCATCCCCATGCCAAGTGCGGCGCGGAAAGCCATCACCCCCACCCGAACCACTGGGAACACCCACCATGAGAGCCGAACCAGAGTAAGAGCGAAGGAGCTTGAGTTTAGTGTCGGGATTGGGCGGGATGAGCGTACCCTTGACCGGGGATTGAGTTGGAAACTCGAATCCCCGGTGGCTTGATTCCTCGCGGTGCCCTATCGGGCTGAATTTGGTCCAGCCGGCGGACACCTTTGGAGGCGGTTGCAGGACACCTGTTGGCATGGCTGGCGCGGCGTCGAGGACGGAGCGGCTCACGGACTTGCGCAGGGCGGTCATCTATTTGCGCAGCGTCTCCACCTTCTCGTCCATCTTTCGAATCGCGTCCACCTCCGCACGCAACTCCACCACGGTCGCATCCATCTTTGGGCGCCAAGTGTCGAACGCCTTGGCGGCGTCCTCCAGGGAGGCGACGCGCTTGCCGATGGAGTTCTCCACCAAATCCATGCGGGAGGTGAGGTTTGACTACACGGATCGGAGTTCGTCGAGGATGAGCTTGGTGTTGGGATCCATGGCGCCTAACTGCTTGCGTAGCCGGGTGAAGTGCCCGTGGAAGATCTGGTGGGGCTCCAGCGGAATTCTCCGACGATCGTCTTCTTCACCGACGAGACCGACCTCGGCACGGACTTACGAGTTCACACGCTCGTCGCAGCGAAGAGCGGCGATCAATCAGCCGTCGGGGATTACGATCTCAGATCAAGGTGAAGAAGTGCGCACGAATCGGCCGAGGAAAGCAGCTCCGAGTACCAATTTGTTACGATCCAGGATAACTCTATAGAATTCGGGGGAGTAGCAACAGATCGGAGTAAAGGAGGGGAAAGCAAAGCAGCAGGCTAGGTTCATAAGAGTGCTTGCAGAAGGGGCAAGTAGTTTGTTACAATATTCATCATAGATGATCTCTCCTCCCAATCCTATTACATTTATAAGCTAAGCACTCGGTCGCTCACGCCGTGGTCCAGTCGTCCCCAGCAACGCGCGGGTTGGGCGCCCTTGGCCTGTTGGAACGCCTCGGCTGCAGCCCAGGCCCATTAGCTTCTCCTTCAGAAACATGTGCCGGACGCTGAACAGTAGTGGCCGCAGTCGTAACAAAACTGCTCTCTATAAACAGCTGCAGTTCGCAACTCTCTCTACCCAACGGGCAACTAGTCATTCATGTGGCCAAACATATGGCCACATGTCATTGTCCTCGCAGACTTTATGATTCTCGTGGTTTTATAGAATGTACAGATCGATTCAAATTGTGTTCAAAGTTCAAACAAGTTGTCTTACTAAAAGGTGGTCCGTCTCAAGCAGCGATGTCTTGGGTTTCATTACTCACACCTCCATAAGTCCACAGTTGGCACAGAGCCTCTCTCGAGTACCTACTTTCATGCGAGGTGAGGTGCTAATCATGCAGCGTATGGACTACACCAAAGGTCTATCAGCGCCATTCGCGTCCGAGCTAGAGGCCTTTGACAAGATCTTCGACGGCAACCTGACTACGTCGAACGCCAAAGCGCTGGAAGCGCTCTTTCCGGACGATGGCAAGGGCTCATCGAGGCAGCCGCGAAGACGCAAGGCCACCTCCTAGATCGCCCCGCTATGTCAGTTTTGGTTGTTGTTCCATTTATGTAATATCGAAACTAGAGGTCCTTTGTTAGGATGGTCCAGCTACGGCTCTTTTAGGTCAACTTCCTTCGGTGCTCAATAGAAGCGCATCATCTGTATGTTTAAACTCTTCTTATTATTACAATGATACACAAATATTTTGTGTATTCGAGAAAAAAGTCAAAAGACAGGAAGAAGGGCAGCGCTTTCACAGTTTTGAGATATAACTTTTTGTTTTTTCTAAAAGGCAAAAGGTGATGTACTATTATATCAAGCATATACACCATCACCAAACATTTCCCCCAACAAGATAGGAAGCAGGGCAAACTTTCACAGTTTTGTGATATACAAAGCTTTTGCTCTGCTAAAAGACAAGATGATATACTGTCAGTTCAATCAAGCATACAAAAATGTAAGCCAAAATATACTCCCGGGCACTAGAATCGACTTTGCTGTTAGCAAGCTGGGGAAAAAAGAAGAAAGCAGCCAAAAGTGTTGAACAGCCAGAAATCCATAACCTGACAGTAAATGCTGCAAGGCACCATGACAGATCAAACTTGCAATCAACCACAGGGTGCCATCTATCAATTAAGAACAGATCAATACAAAAGTTTATCTAATCCCAATCAGCATAGTTCAACATCGTCCTAATTTATTCTAGGTCTTGAACAAATCACACGAAGAAAAGACAGGAACCAAGCACACAATGCATACCTAGCAGAGGTGCTTTCGCTTCAAGGAGGAGAATCTTCATGTACAGGTCGGTAGAAGACACCAGGTCAATACCATGATCATGTCCATGCAAGTGGGAAGGTCGCTTTGCCTCTGAAAAGAATCTCAATAACAGTATATTTCTAAGATTAACAAACCATATGGAGTTAGCAAGCCAGTTCTTTCCCCGGAGAAACATGAGTCTCAAAACATGCTAAAAGCATCATATTTAACATAACTAACTATAATGTAATAAAGTAATAAAAAATAGAATTAGTTACAAGAAATACTGCCTACAGGTGAAATTATCATGTCTAGAGGAGCACAGGAATCTGCTCAGCAACAATGCGAAGCCATATCTCACTGGTTGCGCCATACGACCACAGTACCACTACATCTTTCCAGAAGTAAATGAGGCTTCAAAATGGCATGTACACTAGCCGCAATCTCGTCCAATATCAATGCTGATAGAGTGCCCCTGGCACTGCGCTAAAGATGTACGGAGTAGGAGTCTTCACTGGCCACACGACTGACAAGCTAGATGTCTACTGTTCCTCCTTTATTTGTCACTCTGATACCTCACCACTAGCACCTACAATCCTAGCTAGGTCTTGGACGATTTGAGACATTGCTGGCCTGAATTCCGGTTCCTTCTGCATAATAAATTTGAGAGATCAGTAGCGTGAACCTTGAATGCATCTTGGTATTTTTAGAAAAGAGTGCCAACCAGAATGCGATAGTGAATAGAAAAACAAAAACAAAAACAAATACTTCACCTGAACATGACGGAATGTTTAAAAAGAACTACAAACATATACATGCAATAGAATAACTTATATTATGTCTGAAATCTTGGACTTCCAGCAGAGGAGGAGAGAAGCAGACAACTTGCCGCAAAGGCTGGAACTCAGGTGAGCACAGACTCTATACTTGTGCTGATAAGGTGTTGTAAACCAACATCTATTTCTACAGCACAATAAAAAAAATCTCTCGAACACACAGGAGAGCTGTGTATCATTATATTAAGAAGAAAATAGGGGTAAGAACCCTTACAACACCACACACACCTCCAACACAATCAAAACCAAACTTGTATACTACTTGCTCTCAGAGATAGATCAAGTCTTATTGTCTAAGAAAACAGAGCAAACCAACCTATATGTTGGCAGCTAACTGAAATAAACAAAAGCTACTAATGCTATATGATTAAAGTATTAACACAAGGGTTATACATGAAAGGCATGACCTTCATATATGATTAATTCTAATATGAGAGAATGTTTATGATGTTTGTGCTGTAACTGTAGAGAGATAGGGCATAAATAGTTTTGCATGGAAACCTGAGCATGTAAGGTTAAGAAGCTTAGAATTACCCGAATACACCCACTGATGATATCTGCAAAACGTGACAACAGTATCACGGAACACTCTCCTCGGATAGAAGGATCAACCATCTTTGACAGGGACTCCATGTCATGAAACTGAGAATCAGCCCATCTAACAAGATGTTGTTCAGCACGTGGACGTGAGCTGCACATTCCAACATAAAGAGGTAGCAAAAAATGAGTTTTTAGGAGAGAAGTGATTCAAATAATTGCAAAACGCTCTTGTTTAACATGCATATTACAATGGATCTCTGACCTGTCATATGGCTTACGACCAGTAAGAAGTTCTAGCATCACCACACCGAAACTATATACGTCGCTTCGATGAGTAAAGGGCTCAGATTCATGGATTTCAGGTGCTTCATAATTGAGTAGAGCTCGCATACGACCTGATAGCTGAGATAAAAGGGAACACTATTATAAGGAGATTTACATTCATATTCCCAAAGAAGTAAAGAAGAAAATATTAACGATAACCAAGTAATCTAGGTAAGTCAATTTCCAATTGTTTTTCCAACAGAGCATGGCATAAAATAGTTAAGATGTGGCAAAGGCTATCCAAGCTTGGAAGGAAATCATTTGATGAGACCTGATAGGTATCATGGGTTGGGAGCTGCTAGCTATACATGCATCAGTATTCTCAATGTTTGGATGCTCTCTGTGCATGTCCGTGCACCATGAAGGTGTTATGCTCTATGAGTACAGTTCCTTCAGCCACAATTTTGTATTATTGATTACGACAAAGCTGAATAGAAGAGGTTACCTGTGTAACAGAACCAGACGCCATCAATTCTGCCAGCCCACATTCAGCAACACGTACTGAGCATCTATTGTCAAGGAGCACGTTGGCTGGTTCAAAATTCTGGTGTACTACAGGAGGTTCACAGGTGTCATGGAGATACCTGAAAGAAAAGCGTGAATAGTAAATATACAGATTGTGATGGCATCTCTTGAAAAGCTAAGTTTAACACAAACAAGGTCATGAATATAATATCTAAGTTGAATACAGCTTACTCTAAGGCTTTTGCTGCATGAAGAGCAAGCTGGAGGCGAGCATTCCAGGATAATGGTTCATCTAGATCCTCCCCTTCATGCAGTACATCATGTAATGTTTTTCTACTGAAGTGGTTATACACGAGTAACCGCTGTTCATACTCAGCACAGTATCCAACTAATTCAAGAATGTTAGGGTGTCTAATATCTGATATACGAGCAACCAACTCTAGAAAGTCATCTACTGGTATTCTTCCATTAGCATTATCAATCTTCATAACTTCCAGTAACTGCATAGGACAAAAGAAGATTCAGCATAAATCACTCGCTGAGTAAAAGAAGCAATACTTGATACATACTTTGCCATCAGGAAGTTCTGCCAGATACACTTTTCCCAATCTACTCTCCCTTATCAAATTTTGCTCTTGAAAACTATTTGTATATTGCTGAAGTGATGCCACAGAAAAGGATGTTGCAGATGTCGAGGGACCAGTCCTTGGCGGTGTGCTAACTCTTTTTTCCGAACGTACAATGGGATTTACAGTTACTTTTTCAATGGGAGGTGGTGATGGCAGTTTTGGAGGTGGAGGTGGCGGTGGCGGTGTTGGGGGCGGTGGTGGAGGCGGAGGAGGTGGAGGTGGAGGTGGAGGAGGCACTGCAGCAAAGATCTCTGATTCTGTTCGCTCCAAATTAATTACATGCTCTTTTCTCTTTTCTGGAGGCTTCTCAAGGGCAACTGCCAACAGTTCATGATTAGTATACACATCTATACTTGAAACAGCATTATAGTAACAAAAGAAATGATTGGTCAGATTTGAAAGCATATATACCTGGTACAGCTAAATTTATTTCACGGGGCTTCTTTCTTTCAGGAACCTCAGATGAACCTGTTAGTGAAACTTGAAAACCATGTATCATGATACGAAAACAACAGAAGAAAACACATAAATACATTGCAGAATGATCAATGAAAGTTGACCTTTTTGGGCTTCATGTTTAGACTGCACCGAAGCTTGCTTGCTTTTTGGCTCCTCAATCCTCTGATGCACCCTACCTAATTGAGCCGCGGAATAATCACGTCTAGACTGTCTTTCTTGATACTTGGACAGGCAAAAGATTACCAACAGCACTAGAACTATGAATAGCACAATAGCAAGAAGAACATATCCAACAGTTCTGAGGGTTGAAGACTTGTTCTTCTTGGATAATGGAGAGTTGCTATTTCGAGCAGTAGATCCACTAGAAGAGTTTGATGCTGCACTAGATGGTGGAGGAGATCCTGAAGGGGATGAAGAGGACGATGGTGTTTGTGTTGGTGTAGAGCCTGTAGGTGTTGAAGAGGGTGAGGTAGAGGGAGCTATGCTGGTATTAAAAGGATTCCCATCATTTCTGTAGGCAAAAAAAAGTTAATGAGTTATATGTAACCGGTCCAATCATCAAAGTGTTGAAGGATAGGACAGAATATAGAGAAACAAAACAGGACTAATGGGCTACACCAAGAAGTTTGCGATTGGTAAAGGAAAAGTATCTCACTTGAAGTTTGGTATGTTCAGCAGCTTCGGAGGAACTGGTCCAGAAAACATATTATTCTCTACATTTCTGTTTAGAGGTACATAAATTATCAGAAAGAGGTACTAATATTGCATGCATGACAGAACATTTAGGATAATAAATTATTTGGAGTGTGAATTTAACATCAATTGGATTTAGACTAGAAAACAATTATATGCCCCATGCGTCATGTGAAAGGGATGTTGGTATATAATTCATGCAACAGGCTGCTGTTTGTTGTAGAAATCTGGTAGGCAAGAAACAAACTGTTGTGTATCCACTTTCCTGGGAAATAACTGGACCCAAAAGCAGAACTGGTCAATTATATTAGAAAGCCTAGACCAACCTAGGAGCAACTGGATGGTATTTTATTTTATTTTATATTAATCAATCAATTAATTAATTAATTAAGAAGAAAATAGGCACCCAAATTTGCCTCGACGAGGACTTCAACTTGGGTGGTCTGGGCATACATCCACACCCTTGAGGCCTTGACCAACTGAGCTAGCTCAGCTTCCTATCAGTTATATTAGCAAAGGGCTCCACAAAAAACAGTGAAATAACTTACTCTGTCAATGTTTTTTTTTTTTCCCTTTCCAATTAGCAAAACTATGCTAAATGTGAACTATACTTCTGAGCCTGAAAGCCTTAGAGAGCACTAGAAGGCTATGACCTTTGCTGAGGAAATTCATGGTGGCTTCGCTAATACAGCATAGAGTTACTACATTGCAAATCTAGAGCTAATTTAAGTCGCTTATCATCATAACCTGTAGTTTAGGTTTAAAGCAATAGACCTAGAGAATATTAGTTGCAGGCAGGCATTTTTTTTTTTGTTAAACCAGTAGGTAACTGACCAAATAATTGCAGATGTTCTGCTTAATTTGTAGATTAGGATGAATAAATGAACAAGTTAATTGACAACAGAGAAGAGGGTGTGGACATACAAATCTTTGAGGGGGAGATCCTGCAAGACATTAAGGGTCCCAGATAGTTTATTGTCTTGCATGTGCCTGTGCAATAGAGGATCATGAAAGAGTAAGTACAAGGTAAGAGGGTAAAAATAAAAGAAAACAGTTGTAGAATTACAATGTAGTCAGTGACGTCAAGCTTCCCAATGAAGGTGGTAATGAACCACTGAAGTTGTTGGAAGAAATATCCCTGTAAACAAAGGTCAGGTGTCATCAAGCAGTTTGCATGGAGGGAGGGAGGGAGGGAAGGAGGGAGGGAGAGAGAAAATACAGATTTACAAGTCCCGTGAGGGAATCAAATGCATCTGGTAGTTTTCCATCTAGAAGGTTATCATTCAGTGACCTGGTAAAAGAGGATCTTGACTCTTTAGTCAATTAACTGATGGAAGTAGAAAACAGTAATGTATGGTCCTGTCGTTTAGGAGGAAAAAGAAAAGGAAAAAGGAATTACATGGCTGCTAGACTAAGGAGTTTTGATAATGACATTGGAATGCTTCCAGTTAGTTGGTTATCTGAGAGAAACCTGCAGTAGCAAGGAACAAAATATCCCATCATCTAACCACAACTAAAGAAAATGTCAAGAGTAAGGATAACGCATACAGATTCTGCAGTGTGACTGGTAGATCTTCCGGTATGGTTCCACCGATATTGTTGTTGCTAAGATTTCTACAATGACAAGAAAGCAAACAATCACAAAGCTTGATGAGATACGAGTACAACATAACTTATACCAGTATATAAAGTGTCCTCTGTTCACCTGTTTAAACAGTACATTAGAATTGGTACAGCCATTACCATTGGCAAAGAAAATTGTGAAGATCATGCCCTTACATTTCAGTTATTGAAGTGAAGTTCCCCAGGCTGCCTAGCTGTCCTCCCAAATTTGCAGCATTGAAAACTCTGCAAACAATGAGTTGATAAAAGCACAAAATAGAAAAGTCTTACTGGCAAAAGTTGACATATAGAATAACTGGCATACATTGAGGTTATACTTGAGCCGGTACATGTGACACCCTGCCAGCTCTCACCACAGGGATCTCCACCACTAGCAGACCATCCAGGCAGCTTTGGTGATCCAAGTGCAACATAAAGTCCATTTATAGCAGAAACTGCATGTGAAAGTAAAGCAATGAGCAAATGACAAGCAATGTTTTCAAATCGTGATATGGACTCTAGTCGCCTGGGCACCGACTAGGTGATTAATTGTGACTAGGCATCGACTAGTCGTGATTAGTTTGGGGCTCGTCGACAGGTCGTCCAGGACAGCTTAAATAAGGCACTTAGCTTAGCGTATTAGCATCTAGCAATTGGCATCCAGGCAGCATAACAGGCAGCCAACCATACATGCAAGTGCTAAACAAGAGTGCTTATTAACCTAAGAAGTTCTTAAATCTGAAAGTTCATGATAGTAACTAGTACTAAAAGAAACTATGAAAGACAGCTTGTCAATCGTCGTCATCAAAAGCCCAGTTTGCAGCACAAGCAGCACATCAGCATTCAGCCATCCAAAGCAATATCCAATTGGAAAGCCCCTCCCTCTTCAATCCTGGCTCCAGATTCATCCTCCTTCATTTCTTCATCTTCATCTTCCTGAGTTAGAAAAGTGGGATCATGTCTGCCACCAAGAAGTGCATCCTCCTCGCTGTTTTCATCATCTTAATTGGTATTTTCACTTCCAGCAACCATTGACCTCGGACGCTTCCTTGTATAACTGCAGTGGGAATTGTGCACTTTTAGGCCGACTAGAATCACCAGAAGCTGCTGTTTTCCTACTGGGATCATCACCTCGAGCAGCACTATGAAAATTACAACCACTGAGATTCTGAGATGCACCTAAAGCTTCATTGGTTCACGTTCGCTCAATTCAGCTGGCGGCTAGGTCAAACCAGAGGATCTGTATGTAACGAGTATATATAGGTGGTGGTATGGGCCTTGAACGCTACCAGGCTAACCTCCTGAAGCCCAAGTTGCTTTCTACAGGCTGATTGTTCGATTGCAAAGCATCAACTAGTCGTTACTAGTTGACAATTAGTCATCTGATCAAGCAACTAGTAACTAGGTAAACTAATGAATCGCTTCACTTGATCGATGTCCAGGGACCGATTTGTCGATTAATTAATCGAGCGATTTGAAAACACTGATGACAAGGCATTATAAACACAACAAATGCCTAAGTATGCAACCATACTTAATCAAACAATCTAAATGTATACCAAAGGGCTTTATATGTTAAGGGTGTCAATTACTTCAAACAAAATTCAGAACTGTATAAAACATGTATGGAGCACCCTGTCATGAACTAACCATTTTTAGTCATTTACATTTTGTATTAACTCTCTGCCGCTAAGACCTCTGTCTGAAACAGGTACTGAGCACATTGCCAGTGAAAGCAGACATTTAGTCTTTTGACATTCACCAGAAACCCAGCCCTCTGCCACTCAGAGCTCAGCCTGTGTTCCCCACTTACCAACTCCTGAGACTGTAAGCTCAAGTGCACCCCTACGATCAAAGTTCCCAATGTACCACAGGTAACCTACAAAAAATCATACTACATCTATTTGTCCTTGACTATTTTCAACAGGTACTGAATCTTTAGGAAGCAGTCGTGCTCCTCCCCCGTTGCTATCCACGGATGACGATAATAAATTGATAATAACACAGGAAGCCGATGCCACCAAATCCCTCCAGGACCATAAACATCGCTCTCAACCCCCAGACCGAAAAGCACATGCCAATCGCCGCGTATCATCCATCACTTTGGTTGCTTCCACAGGCATGCGGGCACGAATTCAACGCCGCCATCAACCCCTCGCGTACCAGACCAGTACGCCGTGAACCCGCGCTACCGAAACGGCTTAATCAAGCAGGGCAACCAAATCAATCTGCATTTCTCAGCGCCCACCCACCCAATCCCCAGTGCAACAGTACTACAGCACCAAAACAAAACCCACCGATTTCTCATGTCAGTACGCATCCGAATTCCGTCACCCTCCGCAACAGTAAACTCCAATCATCACCGCGCAAACAGCAAAACCCAACCAGACAAACATTCAAGCGAGCACGACGAACCAGTCGGCAGCCCGTGTGCCAACAGCCAAGTTACAATCAAGCGGAGGAAGCGAGACGAGAGGCGAGCAGGGCAGGGCGCATTACCGTCGCCGGCGTCGGTGACCGCGCGCGCGCGCCGCGGCAATGCGGCAGCGGCGATCAGCAGCAGGACGAGGACCGACGCCGCCCCGGGGCGGACACACCGGCCGCCCCCCGCAGCCCCCATCGCTTGGTCGGGGGCCGGGCGAACTCTCGGACGAGCAGCTAGCAGCGCAGCGGCAGCACCACCTCCGCGGAGCAGCAAGGAAGCATCAGCCGCCGCGGCGGCGGCGATCGCGGATACCGAGGCGGCTTGCGTAGATCTAGAGAGAGAGAGAGGGGAGAGGTGGATTCTCTGAGGTTTGCTTTCCCGGAGCACGATTCTCCCCCCTCTGCGCTCGTCTGCCCCCGTCTGTTTTTGTTGGCTTCTAAAATCTAGCTGTAAGGAGTGGAGACAGATAGAGAGACTGGGGAGTGGAGACAGATAGAGAGAAAGGCAGCGGAAGAGAGAGAGGACAGGAGAGGAGAGGGAGGGGAGCGTGGGGGAGCAAGCAACGGGCGTGGAAAGGTCGAGAGAGAAAGAGTGGGCATTGTGTGGGAGTGCTGACTGGTGAGGTGAGCGGAGGTGGTGGGCTTCTGGCTTTCTGGGTCATTGTCGTCATTCTTATTCCCGCGGCATGTGGCCTTTTTAAATTTAGTGCGTAAAGTTGGTGCCGTCGTACGGTGTTTTATATATTAATAAAAAAACAAATTACACGATTCGGTCAGTGATAAATTTATTAAACATAATTAATTTATCATTAGCATATATGTTATCGTAGCACCATATCATTAATCATGGACTAATTAGGCTTAAATAATTCATCTCGTAAATTAATCACAAACTGTGTAATTAGTTATTTTTTAGTTTAAATTTAATACTCTATGCATGCATGTGTCTAAATATGTCCAAATATTTGATAGTATAGTAAATAAATTTTAGGGAAAGAAAGTAAGCCAGGCCTGAATGGAACTGGGGACAGTCGAGCAGGGGAGCGGGGCCTGCTGACGTGGAGCTCGGATGGATCCGTTTGGGGTTTGGCAGCGTTTGCGTGCGACGTTGGGGCACGTTTTGCTATTCTTCTCCTCGTTGTCTTATCAGATGTTTGACACATGTATGGAGTATTAAATATAGACTAAATATAAAACTAAATGCATAAATTGAAACTGTTTTGTGAGATAAATTTTTTAAGACTAAATAGTTCATAATTTGATAATGTTGTGCTACAGTAAACATATGCTAATAACGAATTAATTAGACTTAATAAATTCATCTCACGGATTATTGACAGATTCTATAATTTGTTTTTTATTAGTATATGCGACATTCTTATAAGACACCTCCTAAGACTCTAGTCGTGTATCAAACACGCCCGACTACCAGCCGTCGCCTACGCCCATGTACCGTACAGTGTTTCATTTTTCACAATATGAAGATTTTTCTTTGGCGGACAGAACAATCATGTGAAACTGTGAAAGACAGCGGTAATAATCAGGGGGGGGCCAAGCTTCACCCGTCAGCGGAAAGAACGCAGGAGTCGTCTGACCATTGCAGCAAAGCCACCGCCCTGTGATCGCGGCCAGTGAGGGGGCGTTTAGATAAAAAAAATTTGGATTTTGGTTTACTGTAGCATTTCGTTTGTATGTGGTAATTAGTGTCAACGAGCACCTCGTGATTTATCAAGGGTACTTTTGGACCCGATTCGATGTAACCCAAAATTTTTTACCTATAAACCCCCTGACTGGCGGCCAACGAGAAACAGCGAGGGTACTTTTTGGACCCGCCCATTTACCTCCCTGTCGCCCCCGCCCCCATCCCGACTTAGCGTTGCCGCCGTGGCCCGTGGGATTCCTTCTGCTCTCCTGCAGGTACATGAAGTCCTCGATGTATTCGAGCCACACGGCCCTCGCCAGCAGTCACACAAACAGCACTATAGCAGGATCTACTGATTCACCAGGACTGTACAAATGCATAGAAAAAGGCATTGCATGTACTACATGCAATTGGTAATTTATATACTTGTACGTTGGCACGTTACATTTACATCACAGAAAATTATGTTACGTTGGACCACCTTCCCCTAAAATATTTTGTCATGTCAGGGGCTGTCACATAGACAATTTTTTATGACTTGTCAACGTTTTAAAAAGATAGATATGAAATAAGTTTCGTCTGGACGAAGCTCCTCGATATAATTACCAACTTTATATAAGTTATGAAATTAAATATCTAGAAAATAATAGAATAAAACTATACATTGAGAATGCATGTTTTATTTTATTTTATGTGATGTGGTAGTTTTGAAAATAGCTATATGAAACTATCCATTAAGACTGGTCTTAGAACGCCTTTAACAATATAAGAGCTAGGCAGCTACCACTAGCTCTGAGCTAATATATATGAGAGAGAGAGAGAATGCAGCAAGGAACCCTAAGCATCGTGCTCCGAGAGAGGGATGTATCGTCAAATATACAATACTATCTCTAGAGTCCAGGCTACTCTTTTGCCTTTGCACTATTCAATTATTAAATGATTCAACTCGCTCTAAGCTAGACCATTAAAGACGTCTTTAGTACAAGTGGCATAGTTTGAAGTATAGGAAACCATAGATAAATCTCGGTCACAAAAAGAATTGCCATAGAGATGTATTTGCAACCAAGTAAAATAATTGCAAGACGTAAGTTAACGGATGGTGTATGTTAACCATCTAGTGTGGTCAGAGCGACATGTGTTCAGTGAAGACATGCTAAATGCTGTCAAATAACAAGTCAACACTCCACTAGTGTGCTCTCTTCATCCTAAAAAGAGTGTGATTCTATATTTGAACCAAGTCAAATGTGCTTAAATTAAGTTATATTAAACTATAAAAAATAGTGTATAACTTATAAAAAATAGTATCAACATTTATGTCTCCAAATACATTTACTATGAAAATATCTCATGCATGATTAATACAATAATAACTACTTCCTCCGTCTAGAAATGATAAGTGTATTTTATTCATAAGAAGGTCAAATATACTCCCTCCATTCACAAAAGAATGCAATTCTCGTTTTTCAAAGAGTTATACGGTTTAAACTTTGACTAAATTAATACAAAAAACAATAGCATTCATGATACAAAATAAGTATCATTAGATTATTTATAAAATATATTTTCATAATGAATTTATTTGGAGACATAAATGCTAATACTATTTACTCTCAACTTGGTCAAAGTTGAGCTAGTTTGACCAGCACAGATTCTATAATTGCATTCTTTTATGGATAGAGCGAGTAACAGCTTTTGGTGATCAATTTCTCATACTATATATTGTCATTTGCCAAAGAATCAATATCATCACACAAGCACTTTCAATAAAAAGTCTATTGATACAGGTTTTTTGTCCTAGAGTTGTATTTGATTTGAATAATTGTTGGTCAAAATTTCTGTACGTTGATGTTTCTCGGTATAAAATGTGATTATCATTTGGGGGGCAGAAGGAGTATTCAGCATCATAAATGTTATTTTTTATTGATTTGAACAAACTCTAGACTATTTGACAAAAAGCAAGGACTGCCATTTTTATCAGAGGGGTTGTTCTTTGGAGCGAAAAAAAAGAAGAGAATTGGCCTGGTGTGCAGACGCAAAGATTCCGGCGAGCCCAGCATCGTGTCTCATCAGGCAGCGGAATGTGCGGCGGGAGACGTTGGAGCCTGTTTGGAACGCAGGAACAGAAACACAGAGGAATGGAGAAAACCGCAGAAATCAAATATAGTGAAAAATGAAAAACTATCGGATTTGAAAATGTAGGAATGGAAAACTTAGGCTTGTTTGGAACACAGGAACAAAAATAGAGGAATGAGAATGTTAGGACGAAGATAAAACTATTAGTAACTAGATTAGCACTAATCATTGCACTCAAACTGAATCAACAGTGTCATGGCACCTTTTAACGACTCATTGAATGTCTAAATTAACTTGTCCCTGCCTGGACATGACTCTTCCCGAAGTAGATAACTTTTGGCAGGCATCGGTTAGCTAGTTGGCCTATTATCGGCGCACTAAGCAAGCCGCGGGAAATTTTCCTTTAGCTCAGACCTTATGTTTTCTTTCCTGCATTTCGTACAGGAAAGCTCACCATTCCTTAGGAAAGGAAATCTCCAATCCTCCGATACAAACAACAAGACTTAAAATCTCCAATAGATCCGAATTCCTTTCATCAAAACAACCCTTGACTTAAAAATACTACACATTTGAAGTATCATAGCCTTTTTACAAAACCAAACTGTGCAATTAGAATTCATTTAATACTTTTATATGTCAAAAATCAAAAGAGTGAAAAATTTGGAACTTTGATATCATCTAAACAAAACAAGGCCTTAGTGTGAAAGCAGCGGCGGCGGAACGGCATCACCTTCACGTCACATGGCCCTAGTCCTCTCCCGCAGGCCGCCGCAACGCAAGCAGCCAAAGCAGGCACACCTGACTACCTGAGGCAGAGGGGCACACCCAGGCAGGCAGTTGTTCAGGTTCAGTCTCGTCGCTGACGTGATTCGCGAGAAGAAAACACCAGCCGAGATTAGGTGCATTTGCTAACCAGGCTAATCGATAATTGTTTTACGAACTCGGGTGAAATTACTAGCTCCTCAACCTAACTTTTCTGGAAAACAAGTGTCAGACGTACCGAAGCATCATACTGTAATCCATGGCAGCAGATCGCCAGGTCGGCAAGGTTTTGGCTTGGCCGTCAAGCTTAAAAAACCTAGTAATAAGACAGCGGCTCGACAGAGACGCATCCATACATATCCATGACACGTCGCCATCTCCTCCTACAGAAAAGCACCTCGAAGCCTACTACAAGCCTCGCTCCTAATTGCAAGCTTATTAGAATGGGGCAAGTAATTAGCTGATCCTTATCTCGACGTGGGGCCATGGGGCGCATACATCATCAAGCCGCGCGCGTGATAGGTGACCTGTTAGGTCAGGCGTCAGGAGGGGCGATCGATCCAGGTACACGTGCGATTTATTAATGATGACAACAGGTGTCACATCACGTCTGCTTCTCTCTCGCAGGATTAGCGATTGATGCGGTTGATTAGTAGCAGCAGCAGCATGGTTCATGGTTGTGTTACCACGATTGGGTGTTATCCATCACCTCACAGGAT